TAGTTTAAAAATAATAACTAAATAAATGTAATTTAAATAAATAAATACAAATGTGAGTTAGATTAGGTTATGTCAAAGGAGAGGTCAAAACTCGCCTACAATTGACGCTACTTCCGAGCAACGTGTATTATCGACGTGGCGGTTGAGGTGGCTGCTGATGCGGAAGTCGTGTATAATGGACGCGACTTCCATTTGAACTTCAGGGTCCATGACTGCGATCGTACTAAATCGCAGGCGACGACTGCAATTTCGCTTGAAATCACAGTTGATGGCTGCGACTTCACTGAAAACGCAGCCAAAGGTTGCGATTTACCTACCCTACTTTTGGAATTACTTTGAAACCTATCCTACCTTTGTCATTTGTTTTTAAAAAATAATTATATAAAAAAAATCTCGATATCAATATAAATAAATTTAAAATCAGTGCCCTAATATAATTAAATGAGTTAGGATATTATAAATTTATAATCTTGATAAAAAAGTTAGAGACTCGAATTCTGACTTCCACGTTTATAGAAAAAAATATAGGTTATGGATGAGAAGAATTCATATTTTCTATTAATTTAACTTTAGGTTTTCTTTCTATGAATAGAAGGAAGATACTTATGGTTGAGTCAGACTATATACCGGCTATATTTCATATAACATTTCAATCTTTACTTTATATGTTTTATTTTTATTTATTTTTCATAATTATTTTAGTTATTAGTGAAATATTCAAATTCCCTTTTCGTAATTACCAATCTCCAACTTAGCATAATTAAAATAGTTTAAGGACTAGTTTGCTTACCTTCTATGTTTATTGTTTTTTAGTACATAAAGCATTTGATATATGTTAACGTTTTTCGATTCTATTTTTAAGTTTTGTTAACAAAATTGCTTAGAATTTTGGAAAACAATAATAAATTTATTGTTTATTATTTGTATACGGAATATAAATATAAATATTATTTATTATTATTGACTTATAAATACAAAATAAGTATTAAAATTTGAATATTTAATTAAAAAATATTTTTCATATACAACAAGAAAATGTGACTTATGCTATACTTCAATAATCTCTTTCCTATCATGGCACGCAAATTCCTATCGTGTCCCAAATCACATTCCGTGAATCAAAAGGGGAAGCGTACTCATCCATCAGCTCCTCTCATAGATCGGTGCGGTTTTACGAAGCATCTAAGCACAATTTACTTGCCTTGATCAAATCAATAGCTTTGCCGCCCATTCATTTAGACTTTTTAGAGAACGAGAAACAATAAATAGTTACAAAAAACTCGTTTGGTAAATGTTATAGTTTCTTGTTCATCATTTCTAGTTTTATTCCGAAATTTAAGTATTTGGAAAATATTTGCATTTTTGGTCTATTTTAGAAACATTTCCAAAATTATATAGAAATTTTGGAAATTAAGAAAAAAAATCTCTCCTTTGTAGTACCGGTTTCCAACCAAATCAAGTTTCCTTCTTTCTTTTTTTAGTAAAAAAATGAAAAATAAAAAATAGTTACCAAATGCAATTAAATTTTTAGCAAGGGGTGACATATTCATATGAATTAAAAAACAAGTTTATGACTACACATATTATATTATATATTATGAAAATATTAAATTTACTATAATATGTCTGGTTTAAACTAATTAATGTCCTAATACATTTAACAAATCGCATGGTAATTCTTGAGCCTACAAATAAAGAGAGTATTAGGCGTATGCTATTAACCGCATTAAATTTACCATAATATATTAACTTTAAAAATATAGGTGCGATTTAATATCTTTTCTAAAAATTACACACTTTACTTATTTTACTCTAAAGATAATAAAGTTTGCAAATTTACCACACCCTTTTGTTTTATATAATCTTTTGTCCCATTATATTATTTATTTCAAATTTGGCCATTCAATGCACTTTTTTTCTTTTCCCAACAACATATTAAAAAAAGAAAAAAAATTAAAACTTTCTGGTGACTACGACCAAATAAGTTTAATGGGATATTTCTTTTCCTCTTRTTTTGCATGGAGAATAGTTGTGTTACCACAAAATTTAAATCTCACCTCAGAGAAACATATGGGGTGGAGATCGAACTTACAACCTCTTAGTTGGAGATATATGTTAATTAGTGTTGAGCTATGCTCGCTTCGACAAATAAAATGGTTTTAGTAGACAATAAAAATTCAACCATATTTACTAGAAACTTAATTAAGAGATCATTTCTCATTGCATTTTGGGTTCATATTGATGAACATARATTAATAACTTGTTTAGTCTAATATTTATRGTTTTTTTCGGTACACGTGGGGTGGAGATTGAAATTGACGACTTTTTGAATRGAGATAGATGCTTTAACCAGTTGAGTTATGYYCACGTTGAAATCTAATATTTATTAAAACAATACAAATATGAAAGATTTTGTATAGAAGAGGTAATTTTGAAAATAAAACAATATAAATGAGCACTAATAGATATTTGTGGATTACATTACGAATTTGGTCCTTAGGATTGTAGCTTAATTTCAATTTAATTTTTATAATTTTAAAACCTACCGTTTAATCCTTATAATCCAAGCTTAGTTTTAGTTTAACCCATACGATTTTAGAAGTTTTAATTTGATTCCTATGGTATGATTAAACTTCACCCATCGTTTTGTCCATTTAAAAATCCATTCATTTTCCCATAATTAATTTATCCATTCTTAAAACCATGATATAATCAACTAGCATATAGTAAGTCACATAGAAAACATCAATTCATTGTTACGTTATGGTATTTAATTGCATTAYGATTCATGATAAATCTAGAAAGCGATTCGTAAAGGGATATCCTCCTTTTCTTCTCCGGGCTATGATTTTTTTCTCTTACTTTGATCCAAATGCGTCCCGAGCATAGCTCAGCGGTAATTGGAATATATCTCCAACTATGAAGTTGTGAGTTCGATTCCCCACCTCCACATATTGTACTAAAAAAAATGCATCCTGTTCTCTCTCAATTACTATTTTTGTAAAATATGATTTATGTACGTAAATCTATCTATCATGAGTATATGAGAATTTATAATTACCTCCAATAAAAACCTTATGAAATGTTGCTCACATGATACACTATTATAAAGTTGGACTAAAGCATGGGGGATGAAATTGAAACTTAATTCATAATTTTGACCATGTTTGTACCAAGTTGGTACAATTTTGACTGGGCTGGCGCTCAAAGCCCAAAATACTACGAGCCGGGCCCTCTCTCTCTCGATCGATCGATCGATCGGCGATTGATTTGAAGAAGAAATTTCTGAATTCTCAATTTCTTAATCTCTCTCGATCCATCATCACTCCTTTCGTTCATTTTCCTTCAATTTTCCCGTTGACTTCCAATTCCACGATTTGGGTTTTGATCTGTAGTTAGGTTTTTCTTCACATCTTTGATCTTCCTTCCCTCTAGGGTTCTTAGTGGACCTTTTCTTCGTCGTCCCAGATCCTCAATTCACCGCGTAATTTCTTTCCACTTCCCACTTCCCAGTTCCCACCGCCTCGGTTTTCCATTATCTTCCGTTTTCTTCGCGTTTACTCGTTTCTTGACAGTGTTCGAGACGTCGGATTTCTCTGTTTGGTGGGGAGGCTATTAATTCGGACTAGGGACAGGGAGCACTTCGTTTCTCAGAATGCCTACGCAGCTGATTGCTTCTGGGATTTTTAAATTTCGGAGGATCAAGTCAAGGGTATGATATTTTTTGCTTCCTTCTTCACCTTTATGCTTAAATTTGTCTTGCTGTTGGGTTCACCCTGAATTTTGAAGCTCTGCTGAGATTGGATTTAGAAAGGAATAAAGGTTTCTGGTTTTGCYCTTAAATCTGTGCTACTGAATTGGTGGGACTTCAAAGAGAAGTGGATTTTGGTTTGGTTGGTGTTTTTTCTAGATTGTTTTTGGGATACGTTGTTGTGGAGATGGATAGTTCTAGGAACCGGCAGAATGAGAATTTGGGTGTGAACAAAATGGGGAAGAATATTAGGAAGAGTCCTATACACCAGCCAAATTTTGGTAGCAATAATGCTGCTAGGCCACAACCTCAACCTCAAATTTACAACATAAGTAAGAACGATTTTCGCAACATTGTTCAGCAGCTTACAGGCTCACCTTCTCAGGATCCTCAGCCTCCTAGACCTCCACAAAATCCTCCAAAACCCCAAAGTATGCGGTTGCATAGAATTAGACCTCCCCCGTTGACACCGATCAATCGACCGAATGTTCCCGCTCCTATCCCTGGCCCTGTTCCTGTGGCTCCTCCGCAGGGTATAGTCAATAGTAATATGCCTAGGCCTGCACAATTTTCTCAGCCACCTCCAAGACAATTTCCACCATTGGCACAGGGAGGAGACTCACATTGGCCGAACCCAGCTGAGTCTCCTATTTCAGCCTACATGCGTTACCTTCAAAACTCAATGTTGAATCCATCTCCAGTAGCAAACCCGGCTCTACTTGCACCACAACCGCAGATTCCCGCTCAAATGCACCCTCAAGCACCTCCATCTGGTTTATTGCCCAACCCCAATCCACCTGTTCCTGCTCTTCCACCCCCAAGAATAAATGGTCCTCCACCCGCTGTCCCGAACTTGCCTTCGCCGCATTGGAACGGTCCCGCCCTTTTACCCTCCCCAACTTCCCAGTTTCTCTTGCCTTCTCCCACTGGTTACTACAATTTGTTGTCCCCCAAATCACCGTATCCTTTACTCTCACCCGGGATACAGTTCTCTCCGCCGCTGACTCCTAATTTTGGATTTCCATCCATGCCCCAATCAGGGATTTTAGGTCCAGGGCCTCATCCGCCACCTTCCCCAGGGGTATTGTTTCCATTATCTCCTTCAGGGATTTTTCCCATTTCAAGTCCAAGATGGAGAGATCAATAGCCCTCCCTCAGAGAGTTTTCGTGTTTAAGAGCTCGATGCTCCTTATGCTGACATTTTCATCTACTTGTGAAGATGGTTACTAAACTCATGGTGTAAGCTAGCCTGCCCTTTTGCTGTTTTATAGCTTTCTATTAGTTTGATTTTTTTTAACACTTCAATTTGTAAAATCTTTTTGCTTCTCATTTTCGGTCTGGGAAATCTAATTCTGTAACTTCTGTAATGTTCCCCACCACTATATGTAACAAGACGAACAGATATGTAGCCTGTAACCTTAGACATAGGATGATAGATGTCAAGTTGGTAGCTTGTTCAGATTGGTCGGTCGGTCGGTCTAGTTGGATAATAGTCCAATTCTGTAAGATGATGGAATAATATTATTTGGTATCCAAGTCCTTTTGGTTGGTTTATAGAAGGAAATGTAGTAGTGGACTTTTTTTTTTGATGATTCTTTCCAAATTAAGCATAGCATTTCATGCCTTCATATCATATTTGTGCTTATGAAGACTTGCTCTTTTGTTGTTATTATTTCATTTATAGCTGCTTGCTTTTATTATGCCTTGTTCATTCCTACCCTGTTATACTTTTTGCTTTCTGGTTGGAGAAATTATTAGAGGTTATGGAGATGCATGGTTAAAAAGTATCTTTCAGTTTCTCTTTAATGCATCTAGCGATCATAAAGGTGTTAGCCAAATCGGGTCATTTCTCCTTCGATCGGGAAAAAAGGTTTGAGATTGGTTGAGTTGCGATGACTTGTAAAAGTTGAAAGGAAGGAAATATAGATGGTTATGATATGTTTGGTAACATTCGTGTTTCTTGTTTTTTCATTTCTTATTTATTGTTTTGAGAAAAATAGAATTACGATCGATCATTGTTTTTTTAATTGAAAAAAGAAATGAAAATATGTTTGGTAATTATCTATTGTTCTTTGTTCTCTAACATTTTAGATTAAAAAAAGGTAAAAGTTTTATATGAAATTTAAAATTAAACTAAATATTCAAAAAAAAATTTATGTTATTTATTTATGCATTTAGAGAATAAAAAAGATAAAATAATTATTTTTATCTATTTTTTGAAAAGAAATAGAAACAAGAACAAGAAATGTTATTTTATTGTTTTCAAAATTTCAACGAGGAAAAAGAACAATTATCAAATGTTCTGAAAAATTAGAAACAAGTGAGAATGTTACTAAAAGTGTCCTCTAAGGTCAAAATAAAATAATTTTTACTTTTAAAAATTGTGTGTATTTATGATACGAGGTTNGGTATTTTGAAGAAATTGAAGGGGACAAAAAAGAGAAAAAATGTTATTTGATAAATATAAAGGGAATTATGAGATATGAGGGTTCCAAAAATAGGTTCATGAACTTGAAGGAAAATGTTTTTCCTTTTTTGTATATCTCTGCACAAGAGCTACATCAAATTAATTTGTCTTTTATATTCTTCTCTCTCATATTAAATTTCTCTCTCTCTCTTCACTTTCCATGTCAATATTTATCCACACAAAATTCTCCTTTTGTCCCAAGAAAAGGAGGAAAAAAAAATCCAACTAATTTGATCTGAACTTTGATTTCATGGCTTTAAATTATAAATTGAATTAATTAGTTAGTGTGTATATATATATATATATATATATATAAACAACCAATCTTTTCCATTATATCAAATTAGCTATAGAAAGAAAAAATCCAATCATATATAAATATAATGACCAATTTACCCATATTGATATAAAATATATATTATATTTATTGCATGCTTCTTCTTTCGACTTTAAAGTAAACAAGTAATTATGATTCATTAAATTGACCCAACTATCCAATCAAATATTTCTAAAGGCTTTAATATGACAAAATGTTTAAAAATCAGATTTTTGTATTTTCTTTGTTATTTCGATTTTGTCCTCATTATTTCCACAAATCGATATGCCTAATATGAACTAGATACTCACATGATATTCGTGGTATCATTTATATAATTGATGTACCAAATACTAAGTATATTATTGATACATATTGATGAAGGTATATCCCTGTTATATAACTGATATATCTTATATGAAGTATATTATTCATATATTCAAACTAAATATATGAATAATATGCTTCATATTAGATATATTACTGTTAAATCTTCTTCGAGTGATTTAAGTAACATTATTTGTTTCTTAATTATTGATATATCAAATATATATATTAGTGATATACATCATTTTACGTCGGAGTTGAACACTCCATCTCTCTCCACCATAACAAATGCTGACTTTAGAGTTAAGATAATATTGAAGCTCTCTCTCTCTCAAAACATTGGAGTATAGTAGTTTGAAAGAAGATGTATTATTTATTAGGCAAGTTGGCAAGTTGCAATTGCAAGAAGTCTAAAGATGGGTCCTACATAAACCAACTATATCCAATATTCCAATTAAAGTTCCAATTAAAATTATGTAATTCCATTTAAGTGCAGCACTTAAAAGAAGAAGGAGAAGGCTTACAACCAATGGAGAAAAACACTTTTTTTTTCTCTCCAAATTTGAGATCATAATTTAAAGTAACATCACTTTCACTCATATCACCTTCACTTTGGCAGAGGACGATAGGAAAGCAATACCGTTCATGGTGAATTCTAAATGGGCTTGAGAAGTGAGAAGATTGGTAAGGCTGAGCTTGCTGAATGAGCTTGGTCAGGAAGACCTGTATAAAAAAACAAAACACTCTAACGCTCAAGTCAGTAAACGTCGATTTAAGGTCTCAAGTCAAGATTAGATTGCATACCTAGAAACAGAATGAAGCTTCTATTTATAGGGAGTCAGGTGACAACGCAACGCGTTCGACCATTCAATTGTATTGTCGAAAAATCTGTTGCATAATGTAAGTCTCTTGGCTCCTAAAAGTCGGAGTATGACATTACCTTCAACCAAATGAAGTTTGGTAGAGCTTACTAGTTACCTTTTGGTCGAGTTTTGAGGTGGTTGGCCATGTTGATTCTCCAAAATTCTGAAGAATCTAGCCATCCACATGGCAAGTTCATTTTTTTCCTCCAATTCCTGAGGGACCATTAGAACAAGATCATATGAGTATAGACAAAGAGATGGACACATTTTATGGAGTTGTTAAAATCACGTATTCTGCCTATGATGTTATTATATTAAATATCCATGTTTGGTGTTTGTCATTTCCATTTCCAAAAATCTAAACAAAATGAAATTGAATGGTTGGTATATTATGAATTGTTTGAAGGGTTTAAGGTCAAAAGTGATCATCATCATCATCATGTCTTTCCATTGCATCTAACTCATATCTTTCTTCTTCCCTTTCACAAACTCAACTTGCAAAACCCCTCAAAGCAAAATCCCTAGTGGCCCACATGCTTAACACACAAACCCTAAAGTTCTTCTCTCCCTCTCCATCATCACTTTTTTCACTATCTAGTTACCATTTTAAGCCAATATTCATTCGAGAGGGGGAAAAAAGAGGGTGATCTTCAATGTTATTAGAGATTTCACTTGTGAATTCGATTCGTATAGTTTGAAGTTGAGAAAGTCGAGCTTAATTTTGATACACGGATTTACTTATCTAAGACTATACATAAAATTAGACTTCTAAAATGCTACTTCTAGCTATAGACCGACTTTTATAAAATTATAAATTCAAACTTCTAAAACTCATCTCTTGAAATATGTTAGATAATACTTTGTTCTCAAGGATAGTTTGGGTGGTTTAGGGTTTCAAGGAATATCCTTCATGTATTGGATTCAAGCCACAAGGAACGCAACCCCACCAAACCCATTGCGTATGTATGAGTATGGAGACACTACGCATACCTTACTTAATTTTCACTTAAGAAAAGGAAAAAATATTGTTGATAAGTAATTTTCCCAACAACTATAAATTCAAATTTCTAATTAAACTCATCTCTTTTAATACTATAGGTAAGACTTTTCTAACTCTTAGCCTATGCATTTAAAAACCGAACACATTTTCTGTGTACAATCAAATACTCCCCAACATTTTTTCTTTGGTGAGAGGAAAACGTACGTACCTCTTGGATTCTTAATTAATTTGAGACAAACTTTAATTAGAGATTCCTTGTTGTATAATATTACCATCATATTATTATAAATCTACGTAACCAAAATTTATGCTTCTCTAAAAGTATTATAACGTATAAAATTTAATTTTAAAATTAAAAAATAAACTTAACATTGTAAAATTGAATTTGTGGATCCTTTGACTTTGATCTTGTAAAGAGAAATTAATGGATTTTTTTCTTTTTGTTTTGGGTAATTGCATTGATTTCAAAAGTTTGGAGTTCAAAGGGGAAGATTGATTTATCAGAAAAGTGGTTAAATTTGGAAAGCATATGAAAACAAGAAAGTAGCATTGAACTGCAAAAGTGAAACTTTTGCTGAATTTGTCATCTTTTCTAAAATCTGATTTTTCACTTTTCAGAGTCCTCCTCCCACCCCCTTTGATGCATGAAGCAAAGAAATTGACCGACTATGCGAACGTCGGTTCGGGCAAAGATGACTTAGACAGTGAGCTAAGAACCTACAAAACAGAACACACACTTCAATGTCAAAGTCAATAACCGGTCGAACTAAACTCGAGAGAGAATTTAGTGTTCGCGTAGCTTAAAGTGGAGCGTAATGGTTCTATTTATAGATAAAATCTCCAACAATGTTACCGACAAGGCATCAACCGCTCTTTAAGGTTGCCGTGAAATGCGGCGTGTAAAACAATCGGTTCAACGAGTTACATGGAAACGAGATTATCAGTGAGCTTGGTTGGCTCAGCCTCCAAAGTGATCGGCTTGAAACATCTTATGGCCGAGGTGATGATACTTGGATTGTTCGTATTCACAAGCTACGTGTTACGTTTAAGATCCAATTATCTCTTGCCACGTGTAAGTTGAAATTCTACCTCCAACATATATATAATAATAATAATAATTTACAAAACCTTTTAAGATTATTTAAAAAAGACCTTTTAAAATTATTTTACAAATAAATATTTTAAGTTATTATGTTGTTTTTATTTTTTAAACCGAGAAAAATTATAGAGAGAAAATAGTTAAAAGAGGAAGAGAAAAATTATAGAGAGAGGAAATTTAGAGGGAAATTTTAGAGTGAACAATATGTAAGAGAGAAGGAGTGTGAGAGAGAAGTTATAAAGAGATGAAAATTGTCAGAAAGAAAGAAAAATTTAAATAAATAATAGAGAGGTAGGGAAAATATATAATTTAAATAGAAAAATTTTAGAGAGATAAAGAAAGAGAAAAGTTGGAGAAAGCGAAAGTAAAAATTATAGAAATAAAAGAAAAAATTGAAAGAGGAATAACTTAGAGAGAGAAGAAATTGATATGTTGAAGAGAAAGGTAAGATGGAGGTATAATTTTTCTCTTTTGTTTCCAAAATTTGTAGACTTTTATGGATTTTATTTTTACTT